GGCCCATTTAAACGGCCCCGGCGCGGCGGGCGGGCGGGCGCGGGCTCCGGCAGGGGGTGCGTGACGGCCGACTGGCTCACGCGGCTGGCGGCGGGGGGTGGCGGGACGGGGCTGCACGCACCCTTGCCTCATTCCCGAGTGGACGAGGATAGGAGAAAGGGAGTCCCGGGTGTGCGAAGGGGCGTATGCCGGCGAGAAGCCGCGCGCACCTACCGCGCCATTGTTGAGGGAGTCACTGGGCGCAGCTGGAGTCCGGGACTGCACGTGGGGAGGGGGCGGGCCCAGGACCCGGAGTGGGCTCCTAGCCGATGGGGGATCGGTGGTCTGGGACTGCCTGCTCGCGTGGCGGCTCTGGGTAGGAGTGTTGGCACAGCGGCGGTGGGTGGTGGGCATTACTGTCGGGCGTGGGTGGTCTCCTCTGCATCTGCAGGGCGTGAGGCTGTGGGTTTGTGGTGTGTGGCCTCAGCAGATGTGTTGGGGAGGCTTCATGCTCTGTGAGTAACAACAATTCTGTCAGCCATTGCCACCTTACTATGCGCTTTACATGCCTTAGTTCACTTGATCATCTCAGTGAGTTTTCCTCATTGTTTCATTTATAGATGAGGAAGGTGAGACACAGAGAGGTCAAGTAACTCTCTTGATGTCACACAGCTGTTTTAAATCCAGGCCGTCTGACACCAGGACAGACAATATCTGAGCCACGTTGTGGGGCAGGAAGGTGGGCTGGGCCCTGTCTGAGTGAGGGTTGGGGGATGTGGGGAAGAGGAGGGGCCAATGAATGTGGGATTGTGCACTTGAGAACATTTCTGTTCCCTGTTAGGAGCCGGTCTGGGGAAGAGGAACCCGCTACATCCATGTCCACTTTGGTGTCCTGAGGTAGCAGGTCTGGAGTGAGGGTAGCTTTTCCCGCCCGTCTCCCTGCACAGCAGCATGTCAGCTTGTAGCAGGAGCATTAGGAGAAGAAACAGAAACCCACTAGCAGCTGCTGAGACAGGTTTGTCTTTCCCTGGTGTGTTATTTTGGACAAGCTAGAAAGTAGCCTCAGATCCAAACCCAGCACGTAGACAGCACCCCCCTCCCCCCGCCAGCCCTGTGAGATGCGTTTGGCAGGGTGTCCACAAAATGTCGGACCCTAGATGCACATTCACCTTTGGTGGCCCTTGCCTTGCTCTCAGGTGTGGTGCCTCCGTCTCTAATCGCTGCAGGAGGCTGTTGCTGCCCAAGAGCCATGGCCCACGGAGCAGCCATCATGTTAATCTGTGGTCATGGCACAGTGTGGAGAGGCTGTCAGGACTCAGAGGGGGGCCAACTGTCTCGTCTGGCCACAGCCCTGACACTGCTTTCAAAAGATGGTTTCCTCCACTCACTTCTTCTCATGTTTGTCTGCACCTGTTCACAGATCCTTAGGCCTCCTAACCCCTGACCTTTAAACTAAGGTTTGGGGAGGGAAGCCTAGTGAAGTATGTCTCTAGATCTGAGAAGGTACCATGTAGCCTGCGGAGGGAGCCTCCCTTCCTTTCTGCAGGACCACCCCTCGCTCACCCCTGGCCTCTTTCATCCTGAACAGGCCCACAGTGGGGAAGGAGGGGCATAGAAGGCCCCGACCTTGGCTTTCAGGAGCAGGATCCAGCTGGCAAGGTATGGGGGCTAACCTAGCTCACCCAACCTAACCTCCATGCTACTGTCTTGCCCCACCTCTCTTTGGAGGACCAAGGTGCCTTCCTGAAAAGACCATGACTGGGGTCAAAGTTCCCTGCAGAACCCCTTCTCCTCCAAGGGCCACTCCCTGACTCCCAGGAGACCCCCTTCCAGGGGCTGTCCAGGGCTTTGGCTAATCAGTTCACCCGTACCCCCACCCCTACCTGTCTCCCCCTCTTCATGGGAAATAGACCTCTCTGCCCACAGGGTCAGAGCCACTTTCCCACAGGGATCAGACGTCCTTAGTCCTGGACATTACACTCCTTCCACAAGGATCTGCTCACTTCTTCCCTCCTATCCACCTCTGTCCTGGTTTGGCATCTGGGGCCCCGTGTGCTCCTCTGCACTTCTGACTGAGCCAGAGGTCAGACGGACAGAATTTTGGCTCTAGAACCACCCCTCGCCTCGCGTTCTGGCCTGGCGGCACCCCGGGGGAACGCTGGTGGGCTAGGCGGCCAAAGCCCCTCCTCCGACCCGCAGAGGCCCCGCCCCCTCCCCTTCCTCGGGGCCTCCGCGGCGCCCTCGCTCCTCGCGGTACCCCCTCTGGGGGCCCTCCGCCGCTGGGCCGAGGCCGGAGCCGCGGCCGCCGCCGCCGCCGCCGCCGCCGCCG